AGGAAATAATGCCTGTCTTAATAAATAATATCCGTGCGAAATTGAAAATTATAGCGTTCTTCCAATTGCAGCTAATTGATTGATTCAAGCCTCACGAAGACAGAAAGAAAGAAAGAAAGAAAGAAAGAAAAATGATGCAACAGTCTCGAAGCATATAAGTTTCGAAAGTTTGGGGTTATCCAGGGAGTGAATCAACTGCGCATGCGTCGAGGTGCAAATCTGCGTGGTCACGAAACGCGCGAAATTTAATTCCCTTTTTCTCAATGCAATTTGTTCACCTTAACAAGGTTACGCGTTGTTTATGGTTAAGTACATGCTTGGCTTGTAATAATGAAGAACTCTTCTCTTATCATTCAACGGTACACAATGTAAATCATTATCCACTCGATCAAATCGTACCACTGTTACGTGTGGGGAATAGGGGGGGGGGGAAGAGGAAAGAAAACAGAAGAGCAAGAAATTGTGGCTTTCGATAGATTCCAATCATCCGTTTCCACCTATCTTTTAATTTTTCCTAATTACACGCGTCTGAATATGCGTGTTCTTCGACGTATTGCTCGCGATGTTGTTGACCAGTTTCGATAAATTAAACGACCATCTGACGCGACTGTGCGCGCGTTCGCTTGAAGAAACGAAGAAGCGTCCACCAAAGAACATCCGAAGTTTCCGCCTACGTTTCGATCCCATAGCTACTTGTATATCATCAGCTGATTGCGTCACGGTCTGGTTTTATAATAGTTCATTAAATTGCCGGTAATTCGTGGTTGTGGGGCTATTTTATGTAGTATAAATGAATGAACATTATCGTGCAACACTTTGAAGCTGTTCCACGTTAATTCACGTGTTCGTTAATCATGCTAATTTCTCAGTTTTTTTTACTTTTCATTCGCTTTTTAAAAAGATATATAAAAATATACATCTATATATCTATATATCTATCTATCTATCTATCTATCTATCTATCTATATATATATATAATGTACTTTTTTATAAGATATATATATATATATCTTATAAAATACAATAACACACACATATATATATATATATGTACTTTTTTATAAGATATATATGTATCTGTTTTATATTATATAATATATATATATATATTATATAAAACAGATATATATATATCTTATAAAAAAGTACACACACACACACGCGCGCGCGCGCGCGTGTGTGTGTTGTATTTTATTATATATATATATATATATATATATATATATATA